GCTGAGGTGGGCGGATCACCTGAGGTCAGGAGTTCGAGACTAGCCTGACCAACATGGAGAAACCCTGTCTCTACTAAAAATACAAAAAAATTAGCTGGGTGTGGTGGCACATGCCTGTAATTTCAGCTACTCAGGAGGCTGAGGCAGGAGAATCGCTTGAACCTAGGAGGCGGAGGTTGCAGTGAGCCAAGATTGCACCACTGCACTCCAGCCTGGTGACAAACCAAGACTCCGTCTCTAAATAAATAAATAAAATAAAGCTGTAAACATTTAAGAGAAAACCTCTCCTTGAGTTCTAGTGATTTCATGAAGGAGGAATCTCCTTTAAAAGTTAATTTGGGCCGGGTGCGGTGGCTCATGCCTATAATCCCAGCACTTTGGGAGGCCAAGGCGGGCGGATCACGAGGCTGGGAGATCAAGACCATTTTGGCCAACATGGTGAAACCCTGTCTCTACTAAAATACAATAGGCCGGGCGTGGTGGCACGCGCCTGTAATCCCAGCTACTTGGGAGGCTGAGGCAGGGGAATCACTTGAACCCGGGAGGCGGAGGTTGCAGTGAGCTGAGATCGCATCACTACACTCCAGCCTGGCAACAGAGCAAGACTCTGTCAAAAAACAACCAACCAAACAAACAAACAAAAAAGTTAATTTGAAGGCCAGGCATGGTGACTCAGGCCTGTAATCCCAACACTTTGGGAAGCCAAGGCAGGCGGATCACTTGAGGTTAGGAGTTCAAGACCAGCCTGGCCAACATGGTGAAACCCCATCTCTACTAAAAATACAAAACTTAGCCAGGCGTGGTGGCGCATGCCTGTAATCCCAGCTATGTGGGAGGCTAAGGTGGGACAATCACTTGAGCCAGGGAGGCAGAGGTCACAGTAAGCCGAGATCACACCACTGCACTCCAGCCTGGGTGACAGAGCAAGAATTCACCTAAAAAAAAAAAAAAAAAAAAAAAAAAAAAAAAAAAAAAAAAAAATTTAGTTAATTTGAGGTTAGCAAAGTTATTGAAAGAGAGAAAAAATAAATTGGAAAAAAGTTAATTTGAGGTTATAAGTTCTAGCATCCCTACAGGATGATGGAACTGGGGCACCTGAATCTTATCCTGCATGCAAGCTCCAAAAGGGTAAGAAAGTTTTCTGTGCTGCCTCTACACTATTCCCAGTGCCTGACAAATAGTAGACTCCTTAAATATCTGTTTAATAAGTTAATGTCACCAAAGGAGGGAAACTGTGAATCAGAAGCAAAGTTCCAGATTGAAGGCATTCAAAAACATAGTCTGAACCCAATCATGGTCCACCAGGTTTCACCTACTTTCACCCACATACTCCTACATCTGAAGCCTTGGGAATGGGGTGGGGAGATGAAGCAGGAATCATAAGTCCCTACTAACTCCTGTTAGAGAGCCCAGGAGGAATAAAGAGAACATTAGGATTAGAGCTACTTTGGGGAAAAAAAATTATGAACTCAAGAAAAATTTTAAGACTAGGGCTGTTGAGGTAACAGTTTGTGGAGTTTTAGGAAGGGAGATTGGGAAAACCAGGGGCTAAGGAAGTTTCTACTTCTGTGTTAACATTAACATCACTCACCACTCCCATAGCTCAGCCCATCCTGGGATCAGTTTCCAGGAGCCCCAGAGGAAGCCAAAGGCCTGGCTTCCATTACCAAAGCTGCTTCCTGACTCATTCTTGAGTTTAGCCCAATGATCTCCCCCTTTCTGGACCCTTCTCTCTACAGTTTCTTAATTCTCCCCACCCTACACATCATGTATAACAAGAAATGTAATAGTCCTTTAATATGCGTGGGTAATTGAGAGCAGGAAGGCAAGGAGAGGTTCTATTCCCGTTAATAGAAATGACTGAGACCCTTTTGATGATCTTTCTTTGATAGCTGCACCTCTTCTCCCTTTCTCCATCAATCCCTCCTTTTTCCATTTTCCTAGCCTTAAAGCAGTCCCGCGCTTATCCACATAAAACCTCTGCACCTTCTTTAGGATCTGATCCGGATATCTCAGATGCTCTTTTTCACCCTTGGCCAAACTCTGGAGCCGCCTCTGCAACCCTGTCTTCCATGGCAGCCCCTCCCCACTCTTTTTCCTCAACCCAGCCTCTTTACTGCCAAAACTGCTGCTGTCTGACCCAGTGTAACCCAGCAGAGGGTGGACTGAGAGAAGGAATGGGGAGGGATCAGTGTGTGGGCCACCAAACTGCAATTCCAGATTTTAGAGGAATTCACTGCCTCATTTTCACCTAGCAGCCTGGCTGGTGGAAGGGCAGGAAGGGGAGGAGACCCGGGGAAGTGACCAAGAGAGATATATATATTTTTTTCAGTCTGAGAATGGAATCACAGGCAAAAATGAAACTTGGGTATCCCTTCATTCTCTACCCAGGAATCAGACTTTTCATCCCTTTTGTCACCTGGGACACAGAACAGTGAGACCATGTGTGTCAAATATAGACACATTGTTTAACACTTGGTAAAATATTTTAGATAGCATATCTTGAAGAAAATCCAGGTCTCTCAATCTCCCCTTTAAAAAAAAAAAAAGTCATGGATTCAGCAGTCCTAAGGCAAAGAAAAAAGATTAGAATTGTGGCAGATTTGAGAAAGAGGAAAGGAAGAGTGTCAAACCCCATTTTCACTGAGGGCTATTTTTCAAACTGTGGGTCTTCATCCATTAGTGGATGCATTTTGATGGAGTGTATTAGCAAAGAATAGAAGAGAAATAGTAAAGTATTATTTGAGGTATGTCTACACAAGATACAAAGTGTATTTCTTGGCCAGATGCAGTGGCTCATACCTGTAATTCCAATACTTAGGGAGGAGGATTACTTGAGGCCAGGAGTTTGAGACTAGCCTGGCCAACATGGGAAAACCCTGTGTCTTCAAAAAGTACAAAAATTAGTCACGCATGGTGGTGCACACCTATAATTCCAGCTACTCAGGAGGCTGAGGCATGAGAATAGCTTGAACCTAGGAGGCAAAGGATGCCGTGAACTGAGATCATGCCACTGCACTCCAGCCTGGGCGACAGATTGAGACTCTGTCTCAAAAATTTTTTTTTTATTTCTTACTAGGGATCAAAAAGTTTAAAAGTTGCTGACTTATAGGGCCATTTGTGAATTTCACTCAAAAACAAATACTTGCCAAGGCCAGGCATGGTGGCTCAAGCCTGTAATCCTAGCGTTTTGGGAGGCAGAGGTGGGTGATCACCTGAGATCAGGAGTTCGAGAACAGCTTGGCCAACATGGTGAAACCCCGTCTCTGCTAAAAATACAAAAAAATTAGCTGGGTGTGGTGGCATGCACTTGTAATCCCAGCTACTCAGGAGGCTGAGGCATGAGAATCGCATGAACCCAGGAGGCGGAGGTTGCAGTGAGCTGAGACCGTGCTACTGCACTCCAGCCTGGGTGATAGAGTGAGACTCTGCCAAAAAAAAAAAAAATTACCAAAGCTGGGAAACAATCAAGATGTCCTTCAGTAGGTGAATGGATAAATAAATTGTGAAGGCCGGGTGCGGTGGCTCAAGCCTGTAATCCCAGCACTTTGGGAGGCCGAGACGGGCGGATCACGAGGTCAGGAGATCGAGACCATCCTGGCTAACACGGTGAAACCCCGTCTCTACTAAAAAAACACAAAAAACTAGCCGGGCGAGGTGGCGGGCGCCTGTAGTCCCCGCTACTCGGGAGGCTGAGGCAGGAGAATGGCGTAAACCCGGGAGGCGGAGCTTGCAGTGAGCTGAGATCCGGCCACTGCACTCCAGCCCGGGTGACAGAGCAAGACTCCGTCTCAAAAAAAAAAAAAAAAAATTGTGACACATTCAGACAATGGAATATTATTCAGTACCAAAAATAAGTGAGTTATCAAGCCATGGAAAGACATGGAGGAAATTTAAATGTATATTACTAAGTCAAAGAAACCCATCTGAAAAGGATACATACTGTATAATTCCAACTAATCACAACTGGAGATGGGAAAAAGATCAGTGGTTGCCAGGGGTTAGCAGGGATGGGGAGATGAGCAGACAGAACACAGAGGATTCTTACAGCAGCGAAACTACTCTGTGTGATAATATAGAGGTGACCAGGCACAATGGCTCATGCCTGTAATCCCCAGCACTTCGGGAAGCTGGGGCAGGTGGATCGCTTGAACCCAGGAGTTTGAGACCAGCCTGGGCAACATGGCAAAACTTGGCCTCTATTAAATGTACAAAAAAATCAGCCAGGTGTGGTGGTGCTCGCCTGTAGTCCCAGCTGCTTGGGAGGCTGAAGTTGAAGGATTATTGGAGCCCAGGAAGTTGAGGCTGCAGTGAGCTATGATCATGCCACTGCACTCCAGCCTGGGCAACAGAGTGAGACCCTGCCTCAGAAAAAAACAAACAAAAACAAAAAAAGATAATATAATGATGGATACATTTCAATATAAATGTGTCCAAACCAACAGACTCTATAACACCAAGAGTGAACCCTAATGCAAACTATGAACTCTGAATGATAATAATGTGTCAATGTAGGTTCATCAATTATAACAAATACACCACTCTAGTGAGGGATGTTGATAATGGGGGAGGCAGTGCCTGTATGGGGACAGAGGATATATGAACATCTCTGTACCTTCTGCTTAATTTTGTTGTGAACCTAAAACTGCTCTAAAAAATAAAGTCTGTTTGTAAAATAAAAAACAAAATCTACCTGTATCCCGGGCATGGTGGCACACGCCTGTAATCCCAGCTACTTGGGAGGCTGAGGCACAAGAATCACTTGAGCCCAGGAGGCAGAGGTTGTAGTGAGCTGAGATCGTGCCACTGCACTCCAGCCTGGGCAACAGAGCAAGTCTCTGCCTCAAAAATATATCTACTTGTAAAAAAATGTTTTTAAGAATAAAGACATACTGTTAATATTTTTTCCAGGAAAAAAAAAAGAATAAAGGGATGAAAGGTATTCCTTTCCCCACTCCCCTTTAGAAAAAAAAAAAAAATTACACTCAGCCCCATTCCCTCCTCATGCTTTATTTTCCATACAGCTTGTTTCCATCCACACCTCCTCTGGTCTCATCCATGCTGATTCCAGGGTCCAGGTTCAGATCTGAGGTCTGTAATGGCAGGTGAAGCCCTGCCCATACCATTTCCTAGTGGCCAACACCCCCACCCACCACAGCCTGATGAAGCATCTGTCAAGCAGCGTTTCTTATTCCCTGAAAGAAGAAATTAAAGGATGAAATACACACACTTCCATATCCTCAGTCTCCTCCCATTCATGTCAATATGCTAAAAGGGACCCTCATCTATCTGGACTGGAGAAGGGGACTATCTGCATTGGGGTGGGGGGAGGTTTGGGGGATGACTGCTCTTTGAATGAATGGTATCAAAGTGAAGAGATTCTGGATTTTGTAGAGTCCTGCCCTAAGGAACAACTTTGTACCACTATCCAACCATCACTCATCTTTTACTGGCATCTCCCTAATCCAGACCCAACCCCTCTTTTCAGTCTCCATCTCATAAGTCAGCCCCCTTAGTCCACCTGCTCACTGATTCCTGACTCCACCCAGTGATTCTCCATGTTCTGTCTTCTCAGTCACCTCAAATGCTCTATGGCCCAAAGGGCTCCCCAGTGTCAGCTACCACAGGGGCAAAAGGGACCAATTTCATTCCATACACCTCCTTTCCCAAGCCCTTTCTCCCAAGCTCCTTCCCTCGTCACCCTTAACCCACAACTCACAACAGAGAATCTCGTATCCCTGAGGGCACACAGTAAGGCTGCCTCACTCCTCTTGCATGCTAAGGATTCGCAGCAGGATATTGTACACTTCATGTTCCATGTAGCCCTGTAGATGGCAGGAAAGGAAGAAAAGGAGATGAAGAACAGAAAAGGAAGATAATGATGTCTACTTTTCAGGATTGCTGTGAGGGCTACAACCATGAACATGAAGCAAAGCACCAGGTACACAATAGGTGTTCCATTCTTTGTAGTTATTATTCTTAACAAGGGAGCAAGACACCAACCTCTTCTTCCCTGTTTAGGACTAAGTGGCTCCAGAAGGAGACTGAGACAGGGTATTGGGGACAGGAAAAGTCCTTACTATAGGCCAGGGAATTGAAATGGAGGGGGAAACACCTCTCCTTCTCACATTCATGCACAACCTCTCTTGATCTACCAAATGAGATCAGAGACCTGGCACTGGATCTGGCTTTCTGAGAAATGGCAAGTATGTACAGGGATCCTGGAGAAGAGAGAGGGACCCTAAATGCAATACCCTGTACTCAGCTTTATGTCTATATGTCCCTCAAAACTCCACCATGCTCACCCGAGCAGCATTCAGTAGATGATTCCTGTAGGTGGAGATGATCTCTTCATTGTTCTTTTGGGAATCCTGGGAATGAACATCAATGGGAAGTCACATGTCCACCCTCACCCAAGCATGAGGAACAACACAATGAAGTGGTCAGCAGTACCAGGTGGGCTCCTTGGCCCATCACTGGCCTATCCTGGACCACTGCCTAGCCAGGCCTCTGTAATTCCTAGAATGTCTCCCACATATACATCACTTTCACTGCCGACATTCTTCTCCAGCACCATCCCTGACCGCCAAAACATACCTGCAGCTGCAGGGCAAGGCGAGCATTTTCTCCCCGAATTGCTAGAACCTCTTCTGAAAGCTGCTCCAGCTTCTTCAACAACTCCTTGATCTGAGGCCAAGAGGAAAGAGGCAACTAATGAGGCTCAAGGCATTTCTCCCACAAACACCACCCAGGGTCAAGGTCAGCTTCCTTTTACTGAGTATTTAATATGTGCCAATTTTACACAAATTGTCTCATTTAACACTCAAAACAGCTTTTCTTCTGCATGGTGTTCACTAAAAGTAGGAATAACAATGTAAAAGCTAATTAAGGTCACAAACTTCAGTGAAACCCTTAAAAGTCCAAATCTTCTTCATATTGTGAACTGTACACCTTCCAGTTTAGTTTCTTCTGGACTTTCCTCACTTAATTGACAGTTACCTTTTACAATTTGCAGACATTATGATTAAAATTGGGCCTCTGCTATGATGATTCCTATTTCCTCTCATGTTTTCAAGTGCAGACTAACATTTAAGTGAAAATTAGCATCAAGTAGTGCAGATATTTGTATGCATTTCCTTGATTCAATTTGTGACCTTACCAGTTTTGAATTGGAATTGAACCATTTCTTAGATAAAGGAAACTAAGTATATTGCTGCACTTTTAAGTTTTCAAAACAGTGTTTAAAAATTGCATTGTTTTTATTTTTATTTTTTAACTCAGTTTAAAAAGACTAAAACGTTCTTTCAAAAGAGGCATCTAAATGCTTTCCTAATTTTGTATATGGGCTTAGGTTTTGTAACTAATAAAAAAGGCTGCTATCAAATATGATAAAACATTGAAAACTTAAAAAAAAAATAAAACAACTTTTCTTCTGAGAGGAGCAATACTTCTCTGAAGGAAGTTTGGGTTTTTTTGGGGGGGGATTTGTTTGTTTGTTTTGTTTTTTTGTTTTTTAGACTGAGTCTTGCTCTGTCACCCAGGCTAGAGTGCAGTGATACCATCTCTGCTCGCTGCAACCTCCGCCTCCAGGTTCAAGTGATTCTCCTGCCTCAGCCTCCCAAGTAGCTGGGATTACAGGCATGTGCCACCACGCTCGGATAATTTTTTGTATTTTTAGTACAGACGGGGTTTTGCTATGCTGGCCAGGCTGGTCTTGAACTCCTGACCTCAGGTGATCCACCCACCTCAGCCTCCTAAAGTGCTGGGATTACAGGCGTGAGCCACTGCACCCAGTCTGTTTTGTGTTTGGAGGCACAGTCTCACTCTGTCACCCAGGCTGGAGTGCAGTGATGTGATCTCAGCTCACTGCAACCTCTAAATCTGGGCTCAAGCCAACCTCAGCCTCCTGAGTAGCACAGGCACAGGCACGTGCCACCACACTCAGCTAATTTTTGTATTTTTTTGTAGAGTTGGGGTTTTGCCATGTTGCCCGGACTGATGTCAAACTCCTGGGCTTAGGCGATCCATCCACCTTGGCCTCCCAGAGTGCTGGGATTATGGGCATGAGCCACCGTGCTCCGCCTGAGGGAAGTATTATTATCTACATTTTGTAGATAAAGAGACTGAATTAAGTAATTTGTCAAAATCACACAGCTAATAAGTGATGAAGTCATTATTTAAACCACAATCTCTTTGACTCCTTGGCCCATGCTCTTAACTTGGTACTGGATCCTAACCTACTTCTGGCTACTGACCACTAAGGGAAATGGAGATGAGTCCTTGTGGCTTATTGAGGCAGAGGCACAAACACGGTTAATGGTAACTAGCAGTAATAGGAATAGCGGTAGTAGGAATAATGATAGCTACCTTTTATTGAGTACTTACCATGGGCCAAGAGTTCCAAATCTTTTAAATAAATATAATTTCTTATTTAATGTAATCTTCACAACCATTTTATTATCCTCATTTTATAGATAAGAAAACTGAGGACTAGAGATGTTAAATAACTTGCCCAAGATCAAACAACCTCGGTCCAGAGAACACATTCTTAACCATGACACTATATTTGCTTTTACTCAATTGTCTACTTTCATCTTCTCCTTCAGTGCAGCATAAAAATACTTTCTTTAATTAACCTCAGCCTGCACTTATTCCTATTCTGGATAATATTCCTTCTATTTTTATGGACTCCACACTATAGAAAACATATATTCTTTTATATATATATAATTTTTTTTTAAGGAAGAGGAGTCTCACTCTGTTGCCCAGACTGGACTGCAGTGGTGTGATCTTGGCTCACTGCAACCTCCATCTCCCAGGTTCCAGTGATCCTCCTGCCTCAGCCTCCTAGGTAGCTGGGATTACAGGCACATGCCACCACACCCAGCTAATTTTTGTATTTTTAGTAGAGATGGGGTTTCACCATGTTAGCCAGGCTGGTCTCGAACTCCTGACCTCAGGTGATCCACCCACCTCGTATGGCTCACATATGTGAGCCACCATGCCCGGTCTCTTTATATTTTTTAATCATTCTAAATTTGACCATGTATCCAAGTTTTAATAAGAAGTCTGAAATCATTCATTTCACAGGTAAGTCTGGAACTACTGAATCCATGTGTAAATTGATATTTAGAGTTCATAAAACATGTCTCACAGAAACATGTAGACTCACATTTAGAGCAAGCGTTAGGAAACTCTGGTATCTAATAGTGGTTTTCAAGCTTTTTTTCTTTCTTTCTTTCTTTTTTGAGACGGAGTCTCGCTCTGTCACCCAGGCTGGAATGCAGTGGTGCAGTCTCGGCTGACTGCTACCTCCGCGTCTCTGGTTCAAGTGATTCTCCTGCCTCAGCCTCTTGAGTAGCTGCGATTACAGGTGCGTACCACCACGCCCAGCTAAGTTTTGCATTTTTAGTAGAGACAGGGTTTTACCATGTTGGTCAGGCTGGTCTCGAACTCCTGACCTCAGGTAATCCACCCGCCTCGGCATCCAGAGTGCTGGGATTACAGGCGTGAGCCACCAGGCTCGGCCTCAAGCTTTTTTTCTTTGCGTTGGTGTCCTCTTTGCCAATGAACATCGTTTTGTAGAACCCACTCTGAAGTGGAGGGGAGAAGAGCAGCTATCACTGGGTCTACTTTTCTTAACTCAGTAGTTCCTGAGTCACCTCCTCAGAACCTCAGTGAAACCACAGCAACCCATCATGCTATTAGGCCTCTTCCCAGGCTAATATGTAATTCAAGTCCAAATGCTAATAAACGATGGTGCTGCCCTGGTGGCAGCCCTAAGCACACTGCTTCTGAATCTGGGTGCCAAATTTTAGTACCTAAGCCCCCTTCTCTCTTCCACTTATACCTTACCTCACCTCCAATCTCACCAACCCCCTCCGACCCACCAGAACATAGCAGTGTGGTCCCTGCAAAGGACTGGTGCTCCGTTTGGGGTATTGATCTGACCCACTGCTGCAACAAAGGTAGCTGGATTCAGGTTAGCAAAGTCCCAAATACACAGAAACTTTCCCCAGTGCTCCCCAGGGCTACCTCAGCTCCTCACCTTGCCCTCCTTGTCTCGGCAAGCCCCAATGAGATGTTCCATCTTCTCTTTCAGCAGCTCTGCTGTTTTCTCAAACTGCTCGGAGCGCCCCCGCATCTCGCTGGCCTGGCGCTCTTGTTCGGCTGCCTTAGCGGCCAGGTCCCCGCTCCGGCGGCGCTCCTCGGCCACCGCCTCCCGCAGCCGACCCATTTCCCGGCAGGCCGTGTTATACTTTTCCAGCAGGGCCTTTAGCTCCTGGCCCCAAGCCTGGGCCTGGGCCACCAGCGAACCCCGAGTTTTCTCGTGTTGCCGTAGGCTGGCTGCCTCCCGGGCCCTTAGCTCAGCCACTTCCTCTGTGGCTTGGTAGAGCAGCTGCTTCAGCTTTCCGATCTCCTGGCTCTTCCCGCTCATCGTGGCCTGAACTGCCCGCAGCTCTTCCTCCAGCTTTCCCAAGTCTTGCTCCAGAGCGGCCACTTGGGGGGATGCTGGGGCCTTTAAGGAGGTGCCTGGCTCCCGACATGGGGACAAGGACCCCCGCAACTGCCGGTTTTCTTCTTGCAGCCGAGCCAGCACCTGCTGGGCCTCCCGGTGCCGATCTACCAGGGTGGTGATGCAGGCCCGCAGCTCCTCCAGCGGCTCCGCTGCTTTGCTTTGTGCACTCCTCTTGCCCACTAGGTCTGGAGGCAGGCAGTCCCACAGCCCTCGGAGACCGCTGCTCTGGGCGGCCAGGAGCTTCCTCAGCTTCTCTGTGGCCTCCTTCTCCACCGCCAGTTCATCTGTCAGCAGCCCCACACTCTGCCGCAACTGCTGTAGCTGGACCTGCGCCTCTGGCTTGGGCACAAATTCCCGCTGCAGCCGCTGGCTCAGGGACTGCAGCTCCCTCTGCAACCTCTGCCGCTCCCGCCCCAACTCCCCTAACTCCTCCACCAAGTTACTGTTGCTCAGTCTCAGTGCTGACACCTCCTTCTCCAGCTGTCCCTTTGCCAGGCCTCCTAGGGCCTTTTCCCCTCCAGGGGCGCCTAGAGGCTCTCCGCGAGCCCCAGGAACCCTTTTCTCCTTCTCTTCATCCTCTTTGATGCTCCCTGGGGCTGCCTTTAGGGCTCCCTCTCTGGACTCCTGGGAAGGAACCTCAGGTTTCACCTGTAGTCCCGCCTTTGCCCGTTCCAGCCTTGCCAGCACACACTCCAGTCGGGCCTCCATCTTCTCCCAGGCAGCTGCTGCTGCCTCAGCACGGGGAGTCCCCAGGGCTCCCTCCATGACTGGTCTTGACAAAGCCCCCCGGGCAGCATCCTTTTCTCGCCACACTGCAGCAAGCTCCTCCCTTAGTTGTAGCAGAAGCTGGTTCATGGCTGCTGGGCCCACTGGTTCAGCCACTGTGCCTCCTGGTTCAACTCCTAGAACCTGGGAACTCTCCTTCTGGCCAGCAGGCAGCTGGTCAGCATCATCAGGGCCAAAGGTCTGTGCACCACTGGTAGTCAGTTGCTGTCCTGTGGTTTTCCTGATGGTCTCAGACTCTGGGCTCTGGGGTGGCCCCTGTTCTTCTTGTTGGGACCTTCCATGGACTTCATACTGGATCTCTCCTGGGGCTGAGTCCTCAGCCTTCTTCAGAGCTGATACTGGATTTACTGTGGCTGCTGCCTGCTGCTGCTTCTTTAGCTCTTGTATACGCTCAGCCAGCAGGTCCATAGGACAACCCTGCTCCATGCCATCCCCTCCAGGCCGGAGACTAGAGCCTTGCCTTCCTGAAGCTCTGGGCTCCCAGGATAGGAGGAGCCCTAGCTCCTGCACCTGCTCTTGAATCTGGTTCTCAAGTCTCAGACAGGCTGCAGCTTGAGTCTTACACTCTTCTGTCTTTTGCACCAACTCCTGCTCCAACTGAACAACTTTCCTCTGCTCCTCTTCATACTTCCACCTCCACTCCTCCGAGCATGGGTCTTCGTCCTCCTCTTCCTCTTGCTCCTCTTCAGGCTCTGCTCTCCATGGCCTCTTAGGTGGAGAATCTGCCTGGGGCTCAGATGGAGAGGCCTATGGTGGAAACAGAATAGTAAAGTGTGGCCACTAGGCAACAAACTGAGCCCCAGGAGTGCCTTTTTTCTCTTAAATGTCTTGACACCCCAAGAACCTCTGGGAGTAGTCATAGTGGGATAGCCTGGGGTGTGTCAAAAGCAAAAGGGGAGGCACTTAGGTTCTTACCTGGGATGCAAGATCTGGGTGCTGGACTAGCCTCTGATCTATAAGAAAAGATATGAGGAAAATGAGAGAGAAGACAGGTTCCATGTACTTCTAGCCCACATTCTTATCTTCAGACTTTTTCTCAGAGAAGTGGCCTCTCTGTGATCAATCTCACCACACATCTTCCTGGTGCCAGAAGCCAGTCTTGTTTCGTGGATCCCTAACTATCCAGCAACTTTGGTGTCCTCTCCCAGAAATGAGTCTCCTCATTCATTTTGTTCACTCATTTATTTATTGGTCACTGTGTCCAGCACTTTAATAAGCACTAGAACTTCAATGGTGAGCAAAACAGAAATGGCCTGTCACCTAAGCAGATTACAGTCTGGTAGAGGAAAGAGAGAGTGACCAAAAAATCACACAAATAGACGTACAATTACAACTCATAAATGCTAGAAACAACACTAGCCAGAGTTGTCCTCAGTGAGAGACCAGGCTGCATTGAAGAATTTTGTGATTATACTTTTGGGATGGGAATTTGGGGTCCTCTCACAGTAGCAGCAATAAATACGTAAATTCTCAACTCAGGTGACAATTATTTGTCAGATAGATTACTTCCATGGAAATAAATGGGACTCTAAGAAACTTCTCTGATTCTAGGGCTATCAAGGAGAACCTGGAAGTTACAAAAGGGCTTTACCGCCCCGCCGTCGCCGGTTCAGGGCCTGCCGTAGCAGCCTCCATAGTGACTTGTCTTGCGTGTGCAGAGCATAGTGCAGAGCATCATGACCTGTGCTGTCCACAGCCCCCGCATCTGCTCCGTGGCTCAGGAGCAGTTCAGCCACCTCGGCACTGCCTTTCTCACAGGCCAGGATCAAAGCCGATCTGTGGGTTGAGACAAATCTGAGCATAGACTTTCCCCCATGGAATCCAGAAGTCCTGGTTCCAGACATTCCACTCATAGGGTAAGCTCTCACTCAGTGGGATCAGGAGAACAACAGACCAACATTAGACCAGACTAGTTTCTTTTTTTTTTTTTTTTTTTTTTGAGACGGAGTTTTGCTCTTGTTGCACAGGCTAGAGTGTAATGGCGCGATCTCGGCTCACCACAACCTCTGCCTCACCACAACCTCTGCTTCCCAGGTTCAAGCGATTATCCTGCCTCAGCCTCCCAAGTAGCTGGGATTACAGGCATATGCCACCACAGCTGGCTAATTTTGTATTTTTAGTAAAGACTGGGTTGGTCAGGCTGGTCTTGAACTCCCAACCTCAGGTGATCTGCCCGCCTCGGCCTCCCAAAGTGCTGGGATTACAGGGATTCTACATACAATTTTTATTGGAAAAAAGGATCCTCTTGCTTAAAAGATAATTTGAAAACCAGTAAATTCAGCCAATGGGTCCAGAGCATGGATTCTACTTCCGGGGTCATCTATCTATGAAGGCAGTGGTGGCAGCAGGCAGAGTTCTTCAGAACCTCCACTGGGAAGGAATGAGGTTCCCAAGAACACAAAGACCAACCTGACTTCTTCCCCAACACACATACACACACACACGTTGCCCACTGGCTTCTTTCTAAATTGGTCAAGCATGGGAATTGGGGTGGGTAAACGAGGAGAGCTCACTTGTCATTCTTGTCTGTAACATTAACTCGGGCGCCTCTCTGCAGCAGCTGTGAGCAGATAGCTGTGTGCCCACCCAGCGATGCGATCATCAGGGGTGTACGTCCATCCTGCACAGATCGTAGGAAGGGGTTCATGAGGAGCCAGGGACTGCCAGAGGCTTGACACAATCCTAACGGCTCCCCTCCCCTCACACCACTCCAGAAAAAATAAAAGCCCAGATCTTGGGTCTAAACACTCCCTTTTGGAGGGTCAGAAGCTCTCCAGAAGATAAGGCTTAACCTCTCTGTGAGGAAGAAGAGGAGAAGCAGGAGGAGAAGGAAGAGAAGGGTGGTGCTAACACAACCCTAGGTCATGGAAGTTGGCCAATCAAGCTCAGAGAGAGCAGCAGCTTGCCTGTGTAGGACACTGCCCACTTGCCCATCTGACACTCACATTATCCAACACGTCCAGGAAGGCTTCGTGGTCACACAGCAGGAGTACACTTGAGGCACAGCCAGAGGAGGCTGGGAAGGAGATGATTGGGTTGAGAGGAAGCATGAACAAAGCCTGCTCAGACTATAACCCAACATCCCTTCCAACCATTTCATTGGTTGGCCCTGGCTGCCCTTCCCTCCTCACACCTCCCATTTCCCACCCTGTAGTCCCTGCAGCCCTGTTCCCATGAGTCCCCTGCACACACCTGCCCAGTGCAATGGACTACGGTTTTCTGCATCCACAGCATCTTCATTAGCACCATGCTGCAAATGGCCACAAAGGGAAGTAGCATGGAGCTTGGTGTTAACATCCTCATCCCATACCCCCATTGGGTTACCAATTTCCATGGTAATATGAGGAGGGGCAGGAGGGCCACTTTGGAGAAGGCTGTCTACTAGGCAAGCCCAGTTCATTCATTGCTGATGATAGGCAGCGTTGATTATCAGCCCTGGTTTCTAAACCAAGGGGCTAAGAAAAATCAGATGGTAGATAAGTAAACGTGTTAAAAATCAGATGGTAGATAAGTAAAAGTGTTAGGGAAAATGACACCCAATGTTCCCATGGCTGGTAATTTAGAAACATAATTGTGAAACTTGGAAAGGCTTAGGAAGAACAAAAGCAGAACATTCATTTGCCTGATGGTTGGTTAAGATATCTGCTTTTTATTGTTGTTGAGAGGAGTCTTGCTCTGCTGCCTAGGCTGGAGTGCAGTGGTGCAATCTTGGATCACTGCAAGCTCCGCCTCCCAGGTTCAAGCGATTCTCCTGCCTCAGTCTCCCAAGTAGCTGGGACTACAGGCACGTGCCACCACACCCAGTTAATGTTTTGTATTTTTAGTAGAGATGGGGTTTCACTGTGTTAGCCAGGATGGTCTTGACCTCTTGATCTTATGATCTGTCCGCCTCAGTCTCCCAAAGTCTGGGATTACAGGCATGAACCACCATGCCCGGCTGGTAACTGCCTTTTGTACTTTTGGAAACTCATTTATAAATTATCCACATGTCATTGTACATGTATATTTCTCTTTATACTACTAGACTATAAACTCTTCAGAAACAGACAGTAGGGCTTTGGTTTAATTTGAACATCTCTGTCCTCCTTCCTCTTGCCCCTCATCATAGCAGGAAGTCTCTGCAGTGGCTCTGCTAATGACAAAATCGATAGTTCCTGGCAACTCTGCTTTATAACCTGCCCTCAAAGGCAATATCAAACATGGTGCCTGTACATAGTAGGTGTTAAATAAATGTTTGCAAACAAATGATTATCAGCCCTCCTATTGGGTATGAGGCGAGTACATTTGGCCAATGATTCCTTATAAGTATGAAATGAAGTTAGAAAACTCTGGGACCACTTCTTCCCTTCTCAAGAGTAGTATCAAGGGGCTGCTCTTACCTGAAGCAGGACCTTAACACACTGTGGCTGGCAGGAGATGGTGGCCAAGTGCAGGGCAGTGCTTCCTGGAAACAGAAAGAAGGGGAGAAGGAGGGTAGGTGGCCCCATGCATGCTGATGACTCACAGGGAGGGAAGGCAAGAGACGCACAGATAATCAGGAGATTAGGGAGAGAAGCTTTCAGCCACACAGGGCCAGAAATTCCTGTTCCCCAAGTGCCTGGTACCTGTGATGAAGGTGGGAGTGGGGGTGAGGTGTGCCCAGCTGACAGGGAGGGGAACTCCTGGAGGGATGATGACCAGAACTTACTGAGGAGAGAAGCAAGGGACCACAGTAGGAATGTCCAGCAGGGCCCAGCACCGCCGCCGACTGCTGCCGTACCAGGGGCAAGCAAGCAGCGTGGCCCGGGCTCCGACTCACTCACCGTCCTCATTCTTGCTGTTGATATCAGCCCCATTTGCAAGCAGTAGAGTCAGACATTCTGTCAGTCCTTTAGAGGCTGCCAGATGAAACCTGCCAGAATCAAGGCCGAGAGGCAGAAGGATAAAGGGACCAGGGATGAGGAATGGGAGAATCTTGATAAGCCCTTCTTGCTATGCTCCCTACCCCAAAGCCAATCCTAAAAGCAGAAAAAGAAGCTCCCCTAGCTTGAATTTCTGAGAAAGAGAAGTCTATACGCCCTCCAATCATAAAAGGTGCTAAAAGCAAGAAAGAAATAAGAGCTGCAGGTCCCAAGGAATCTCAGACTATTGCAGGGATGTCTAGGGAACACATAATTACCTGCCTTTCTGAGCACAGAACCCTTAGCAGAAGTGGAAGAATCACAGAAAGAGTCAGTCAGAGCAGAGCAGAAGGCTGGATGTTTGAAGGCTTTGGGTAGAGACCAGGGATAACATTTCCCTTGACTTAATCACTACTCCCTCTAGCCATGTGACTCCTATGCTACCACTTCATTTCTAATTTCCCAAGCATACACACCCTCCTACCTGTGCAATGAAGAAATACTCTACTTAGTGTATATATTCATTTTCTGTTTGTTTAATGGGCTTTATGTACTTTACAAGTCAGTGGTGTCAATCTGGGTTGTGAGATGGATGGAGCTCAGGAACAATATTTTCTTTCCTCACTTTGTGTAGAACTTATATGTAGCAAAAAGCTATTGATATACTTGCTGATTAAGACAACGAAAAGAGCTCTGAAGCTGTAGGCATTCCCTGGTCCTATGTTATATTGGATTTGGGGGCCTCAAAAGGGAGCCACATGTAAGGGGCAGGGGCAGGAGGACTTACTTACGGGGACTGGCCGTTTGAGTCTAGCTTGGTGGGTCGGGCAGATTTCCTGGAGGCCAGGGCAGCCACGCGTCCCACATCTCCCCGCTGCACTGCCTCCAGCAGCTTCTGATCACGGCGGTTCCATCTCTCCACCTGGTCCAGAGCCACATGTTGTGTGAATATAGGGGATGGGGGTAGCATGGAGAAAAAAAAAGAGGCAAATGGTTAGGATGCCAAACGAGAGAAAAGGAACATCCCTGAGGTCCTTTTTCTTTTCCACAAGTCACGCATCCTAGATCATTTAGTCCTCCTTAGGTGGGCCTAGCTAAATCTTAACCAGCTAATATGCCACCAAGAACTATTGCTCATTATTTCAGCCCTGAGCCAGAAGGACCCTGGACCACTGAATTAAAAATCATTTGAGTGAATGCATAGTATTTTAAGCTGAATGCATAGTATTTCAAATGTCCTTTTATCATCATTACAATTCGAGTTGTTGTTGGGTGCCCAACCTGAAAGCAATCCTTTCCCTTTTGCTCTCTAGGTCTTGCTGGAGCAAATGGAACCAACCTGACCACTCTTGAGGGCTCACATTGCCTCTCACCGCGGCCTCCATCCCTGAACCCCTGCTGCTCTGCTTTTTGTCATCAGTTGTTTGAGAAGTACATCAAGGCACCGAGCTTCAGGTTACGTTAGGAGTCCCAATACCTAACCATTCCATCTCTTTTCATTGACTTTGGGCCCCAAAATTAAAAGAAGAAACTGGAGTTTCTGTTTTCCCATATCATATCTAGGCCCTTTTGAGTGTCTTTCCCCTTTCCATGGCAACAACAACCAAAAGGCAAAGAGGTTTCTAGCTATGCTTGAGGAAGCAGCAAGAGGCAGCTCCCCTTCTCCTCCCTCCCAGTTTCCCTGGCAGGGAGCAGCTGTCTAGACAAGAGCCACACCTGGGCATGCATTGTTCTATCATTCCAGCTTGGGTTTTGCGGGCGGTGGGGTAATTACAATAATTGAAGTGCTACAGGGCGTGAAAGAGATAGCTAGGTAAAAACACCCAGGGCCAAAAGTACAGAAAAGCCTGGTTTTGTCCAGAGAAGGGAATGAAAAGGAAGAGATAGATGTAAAGATCTGTGGTCTGATGTAAAGTGTGCCAGACGAGCATTTCATTGGCTGGCCTGAGTTTGGGACCTAGTTGAGCTACATTCTCAGCTATGTGACCTAGAGTAAGCCATTAAACACCTTTAACCTGTTTCCTCTTCTATAAAATATGACTAATAACAACTACCTCATTATGCTGTGACTATTAAACAAGCTAATATACACAAAATCTCTTTATAAACTGTAAAGAGCCATACAAATGTGTGGCACCCTTGTAACAAAACAGGAAGTAGTGGGGGGTTGGTGGTGGCACATAGCATTTTATAAGGTATAATCTTAACAAGAGGCTATAGAAGGGGGTGAAGAAAAATAGGGTCTGTGGAAGCCCAATAACTCATTTTCAAGCACTGTTTATGTAGCCAGGGCAAATTGTGAATCAACCACAGGAAAGCTTTAAATGTCCAAACCATAAAATTATCTAAGGTAGATGGATTCTGAGGTAACGCTCCTGTACGGAAGTTGTAACTTCTCACAATCCTTTCACGTGCTATTTCAATTAGTTTCTCAACATCCCTGGAAAGTAGTTAGGGCTATTATTCCATCTCTTTGACAGAAGAAACGGAAGTATACCGAGATTAGATAACCATTCAAGATCATGAAAAAGAGTGGCAAAACTGGAATTAGAATCCAGGCCACGGCTGGGAGTGGTGGCTCACGCCTGTAATCCCAACACTTTGGGAGGCCGAGGTGGGTGGAATCACCTGAGGTCAGGAGTTCAAGACCAGCTTGGCCAACATGGTGAAACCCCGTCTCTACTAAAAATCCAAAAAATTAGCTGGGGGTGGTGGCTGGCACCTGTAATCCCAGCTACTCAGGAGGCTAAGGCAGGAGAATCGCTTGAACCTGGGAAGTGGAGGTTGCAGTGACCCGAGATCACGCCATTGTACTCCAGCCTGGGTGACAAGAGCAAGACTCTGTCTCAAACAAATAAACAAAAAAAGAACCCAGGCCACCTGATGCCAAATCCTAGCTCTCACCACCAGACTACACTACTACAAGCTATAGAAAAAGGTTTACTTATTTCCAGATAAACAGTCTCACGTTCCCTCCAGGGCAAAGCCACCCACCCTTAGACTCTACTGCCTGCACGGAGTCTCCAAACAGGTTAACTCTCAAAGGACAAAATAAGCAAAATGACTCCTTCACATACTAACAGACTCTGACATGGAAGAACGCATTTCCTAATGCCCTTTGGAGACCAGGTCACCCCCAGGAAAGCAGAAAGCTAGAAGTATACCACACGACAGGGTGCTGCCATCAGCTGACCTGAACCTTCAGTTCTCTGTTTAAAGTCTTGACTTTAACACTGCCTGGCTCTGTGAATTTAGGCATGTAACAACATCTCTGAACCTCAATTTCCTAATACTATAACAACCTATAAGGCCTCTAGCTCTGTGTCTGTCACATAGTAGATGCACAATAAATGTTATTTCCAATCCCCATCCTTCCTGGGCACATTTTAGATGTTCCTGGACTCAGAATTCTCCAGCCAGGGGAGTGGAAGGGATCTTGCTGATATTATCCAGTAAATAACAGCCAAGCTATATAGATGGTAAAGATGTTTCTTAGCAATATAGATACTTTTCTTTCCACTTCTTTTGATTTCTTTTTTCTTTTTTTGACAGAGTCTTGCTTTGTTGCCCAGGCTGAAGTGCAGTGGCATGATCATAGCTCACTGCAGCCTGGACCTCTGGGCTCAGGTGATCCTTCCACCTCAGTCTTCTGAGTAGTTGGGACTACAGGCATGCTCCACCACACCCAGATAATATTTTTTTTTTCAGAGATGGGGTCTCACTGCATTGCCCAGGCTGCAGTGCCTCACTGCAGATGGGGTCTTTTAGAGATGGGGTCTCACTGCATTGCCCAAACTCCTGGGCTCAAGTGATCCTCCACACCTCAGCCTCCCCAACTGCTGGGATTATAGGCATGAGCCACCACACCTGGCCTGGATACTTTTCTTTCCAGCTAGATAGTTCTAAATCCACCCAATTTACTTCCTATATAATACTATATAATACTTAGTATTCTCATTATACTAAGTAGAGTTTAGAATGGGTGGAAATTTTTCATGGCCAAGCCTCTGCAGAGCTGGAGTAAAGGACAGAGAGATGCTTTCAAATGTTAAGACAGACACTAATGTCTTAAATGTACAGACATTTCAAATGTCTGTAGCTTACCCCAGCACGTTGGAAAGGAGGCACTAGATTACCATCACAGCCTCAAGGGAGCAATCACCAAATTAATCAGCAGACTCAATAAGTATAAGCTTTGTATTTCTATAGGTGAGATTAGAGGACTTTTGTAGAAGTAATCGTACCTTCTCCTTATCTCTCTGACAGTGTACCTATAAGCATCCTATAACATGGAAGCACACCAGCAAGTAGAGAGAGAAGGCATGACTTCTGCTGTAGGTCAGGTGAGTGGAAACAGAAAGCCTATCCTGGGGGAACCAAGACCTAATTCTCAATGTTTTAATTGCAGTAGACAGTGCTAATTTTTTTTTTGTTTGTTTGTTTTTTGAGATGGAGTCTTGCTCTTGTTACCCAGGCTGGAGTGCAATGGCACCATTTTGGCTCACTGCAACTTCCATCTCCCGGGTTCAAGCAATTTTCTTGCCTCAGCCTACCAAGTAGCTGGGATTAGAGGTGCCTGCCACCACACCCAGCTAATTTTTGTATTTTTAGTAGAGACAGGGTTTTGCTATGTTGGCCAGGCTAGTCCCAAACTCCTGACCTCAGGTGATTACACCCACCTTCAGCTTCCCAAAGTGCTGGGATTACAGGCTTGAGCCACTGCGCCCAGACAATCCAGTGCCAATTATTTAAAGCTCTCTTCTAGTCTACTTCTGGTCTACCTAGGCAGAGTAAGCTCGTATGTAAGATACCCTCAAGGATATCCTCTACTTGACTAAAATAAAATGGGATTATAGGAGTTGGGTTTTTGTTTGTGGATTTTCCTATATACTGGATAACTTAGATTAGCTTTAAAATGATCACTGCTTTTTCAGTCCTTACTCAGACTGAAGGTGCAGAGCTCTGGCCCTGGACCTAAGTGTGTGAGTGGAGATGGGTAGAGGCAGTCTTCCAGCGTGACTGGGAAGCCAGGCTTTTGGAGTGGCCAGAAAGACTGCCACACTACTTCTCTGACAAATGGTTCCAGAGTAGTTTGCTATCCAAAACAGTGGAGGAATTTCTCATGAGAAGTATGGGGAAATTTCATGAGGAACAAATTTACAGCTGAAACTGGCCAATTTACAAGCTTTCTATGACTCCAATCTATCTGAAGAAACAGTTTTCTTTCCAGCTAGATAATTCTAAATCCATCCAACTTACTTCCCATAATCTCATTATAGTAAGATCTTGTTATACTAAAAGTTTAGAATGGGTGGTCATTCTTTATGGCCAAACCTCTGTACAGCTGGAGTCAAGGAGGACAGAGGGATGGTTCCAAAATCCAAAAGCCAGTCCACTCACTCCAGCACCTTGGAAAGGAGGTACTGCCCAAGGTTTGGGGGATCAGAAAGAATGAAATAGTTTCCCCATTCCTAAGGAGCAGGCAGACTGCACAAACCTGTAAGGGAAAGGCAACATTGAATACTTTCAGTAACTAAGGAAGAGGCCATATGAATTTCTAAAAAGTCATTATGAGTTAAGACTGAGTCTGGGCAGCCTCAGTTTCTGGGGTGTAGAATAGTAAATACCTTTTGATTGGTTGATCAATGTGTGGAAACTAAGTAGAGATGCAAATGTAAGTGGGACAAGGACAGGCCTCAACAGAATTCATACTCTTGCCTCATAGCTTGCTTCCAGGACTCTGTAACCTGCCCATGCAGAATGAGCTAATTGAACGTTTCTCATATTTGCTTATGAACGATACCACTAAGTCAAGTTAGCAAAGCAATATTGCTACAAGTAGCTGGCTAATTTGCTTCTAAATTAGCCATAACCCCAACCTCTACAGAAAATTCCACTTCTAGATAAGGGGGCTCTCTGTAAGAGATCTTTAGAGAAGCAGCAGCAATATCCTCCCTAAGCCACCACCTTCTATAATCTTATGGTTTTTTTTTTTTTTTTTTTTTTTTTTTTCTGGGAGAACATGGGGAATAGAGTGACTTCTACTGGGAACTCTGAGCCTGCTCTACCCTCTTCTCTCATCATCACTTTCCTCCAACTCAACCAAAGGAAACAGAGAGTATCATTCCTAAACAACTGGGCAAGGGTTCAGGAAATGAATAATCTGGGGAAAAGCAGGAAGAAAGGCCTTGAGCCTTGACTGGCCCAAGAACCAGTCTAATGATCAGATACTGCAGTGAACTGGCTTGGGTGGATTCTGCAGGCAACTCATCCAGTCCCTTGGGGAGCAGTCAGGCAACTGTGCATCCTCTGGCAGTGCCTGTGAGGCTGACAAGACTGCAATATTAACTCACAGCAAGCAGACAGGAGGAAAAGTGGGACCTGCGACCATTGGGCAGAGTAGGGCAGAGGTTGGAGGGGAGAACAGAAGGTTGCTCTTGTGGGAGCATCAATTGGAAAAAGGTTTGGAGTGATGTCTAAGGAACAGCAGTGCTGGTGAGAGATGGGAATGAAAGTGGCATGGGGCAGGAGGGAAGCAATGACAGAGGAGATTGTGAAAAAGGGTTAACAGAAGGCACAGGGCTGGGAGTGCTTGTTGAACTAACAGTAAACAGCAAGGACAGAGCTACGTGGGAAGGCAAGATTGTGGAGATAGGACAGGGATGAAATATGGGGCTCTGGGACATAACTTGGTGGTGTAGAATGGAGCTTGGGGCCAGGCAGGGGCCGGGGAAGATGCTTGGGGGAGGTTTGGTACTGGGAGATGGAGCAGAAGTAGGGCCAGCGCCATGGGAAGGAGACAGAGCTGTAGAAAACGTACCAGAAATCGAGGGTGTAGATGCTAGGAGGACAAGAAAGGGGCCAGGGGAAAGGACCCTGGGGAGGGCAGAGGTGAGGAAGGCAAGTCAGAAGCTGCATTGAGATGGGACTAAGGACTTCTGTCACCACAGAGCTGGGACCCCAGCCCCATCCTCCCACACATTTTGGCACCTACCGCCACCTGTGAGCTGGAGCAGGAGAAGATACGCTTCATGGCCGGGGTCGAGGCCACGGGGGACGGGGACGCGCAGAGAGCCGGGCCACAGGTTCCCGAACCCACCGGACTTGGCAGCGGCTGTGCAAGAGACAGCTGTCAAAAAGCAGAGCGGGCCCCGCCCCAAGATACGCCTCAGAACCCGCACTGCCCAATCAGAGGCAAGAACCCAAGGGCTGGGCTCAAAACTCCGCCCCTGGCCCTGCCCTACCCCGCCCCTGCAGAGGCGAAAAGCCCGCAGTCTTAGGCTGCGACGGGGGCTTGGCCTCAAACCTCGCCCTTCAAATCTGAACCCGCCCTGCGATCCGACCTGCTCAATCAGGAAAGGAACCAGGTGGGCTACGGCTGAGACTTCTCCCGGGCCCGGCCCCCGCCCACCCGCAGTTCGAGGCGGGGCCTCCGCCCCAAGCCCCGCCTCAGCCCTGCCCCTTGGAGAGCTGTAGCTAGAGGCAGGAGGGTCCCAGCTTCTACCGTGGGCTTCGGTCTCACGGACTGTCGTATTTGCATTTAATCACCGGCGAAGTTACCTCTGCCCCCTCCAACTCCCCCTGCCCCACCCTGCCCCATTCCGCTGCCAAAAACCCAAGCAAAAAAGAGCATTTGAAGAGAGCAATTCGGAAATAGGAGATTGTAGTGCTAAGCAGATCACGGATAATGCGCGGCCCGCGGTAACCTGGGGGACAAAACCTAAGGAAAGGGGATCAGGTTCAATTTTATTTTTTGTTTCTTTTTTTCTGAGACAGAGTCTCACTGTGTCGCTCTGTCGGCCAGGCTGGAGTGCATGGTGCCAGCATAGCTCACCATAACCTCCAACTCGTGGGCTTAAGGGATCCTCTCACTCCAGCCTCCCTAGTAGCTGAGACTACAGACATGCGCCACCACGCCTGGCTTTTTTTTTTTTTTTTTTTTTTTAAGAGATGGAGTGTCGCTTTGTTATCCAGTCTGGTCTTCAACTCCAGGCCTCAAGCGATTCTCCTCACTGTAGCCTCCCAAAGCGCTGGGATTATAGGCATGAGCCGCCACTGTCCCTGGCCCAGGCTCAATTTTTAAACGCAGTACTGAATTGGAAAAGAGCAGAGAGCGAGGAGAGCACTTTTATTTTAAACCGCCCCCCACCCCGCCCCCGCCTCAGCATAGAAACAGAAAATAACCAAACAAAAAACTGTCTTCATTATTTCCACTGCCCTTGAAGTTCAGGCTCTTGGTAATTCTTGAAATCAGTCTCCGCCCATCGGTCTTCCTGTCTCTCTTTTCTCCTATCCCCGCCAGAGAGAGCTCACTAAAATGCATATGAAAACTTACAGGGTAAAGCCCAAAGTTCTTAAGCGGTTTACAAGGCTCTTCAGGAGTCATATGCTGCTGCCCTCTTTTCCAGTCCCATCTCTCATTACTTTCACACAAAAGAGCCACTCAAGCTGTTTCTTTTTTTTTTTTGAGACAGAGCCTCACCCTCCCACCCGGACTGAAGTGCAGTGGCACGATCTCGGCTCACTCACTGCAGCCTCTGCCTTCCTGGTCCAAGCAATTCTCCTGCCTCAGCCTCCTAAGTAGCTGGGATTACAGGCACGTGCCATCACGCCCGGTTAAGTTTTGTGTTTTTAGTAGAGACAGGGTTTTGCCATGTTGGCCAGACTGGTCTCAAACTCCTGACCTTAAGTGATCCACCCTTGGCCTCCCAAAGTACTGGGATTACAGGCGTGAGCCACTATGCCTGGCCTTGTTTTATTTGTTTTGAGGCAGGGTCTCGCTGTCACCCAGGCTGGAGTGTGATAGCATGATCACGGTTCACTGCAGCAGCCTTGACTTCTTAGGCTCAAGAGATCCTCCCACTTCAGCCTTCTGAGTAGCTGGGACTACAGGTGCATGTCACCATGCCCAGCTAATTTTCATATATTTGGTAGAGACAGGGTTTCACCATGTTGCCCAGATGGGTTTTGAACTCCCGGGCTCAAGCAATTCTCCTCGCCTCAACTCCCAGAGCGCCAGGCCTCAAACTGTTCTAATTTATAATTCCCTTTGAAGCTGGTGATTAATCCTCCCAAAAATGCCTCCTGTCACATTTGATCCCTGTGGTGGAAAAGTTAAATATTAAATTTGAACTCAATTGAACGTGGACAGAAACAATGGTCACCGAGTCCCAGAACAGGTTGTGTGAGCCCTTTTGAGGTGTTCATCCAGCACTGTTTTGGAGAAATCTCTATTTCAATCTATTCTTATACGTTAGTTATTGAAAAACAATAGGCCGGGCGCGGTGGCTCAAGCCTGTAATCCCAGCACTTTGGGAGGCCGAGACGGGCGGATCACGAGGTCAGGAGATCGAGACCATCCTGGCTAACACAGTGAAACCCCGTCTCTACTAAAAACACAAAAAACTAGCCGGGCGAGGTGGCGGGCGCCTGTAGTCCCCGCTACTCGGGAGGCTGAGGCAGGAGAATGGCGTAAACCCGGGAGGCGGAGCTTGCAGTGAGCTGAGATCCGGCCACTGCACTCCAGCCCGGGCAACAGAGCAAGACTCCGTCTTAAAAAAAAAAAAAAAAAAAAAAAAAAAAAAAAAAAAAAAAAAAAAAGAAAAAACAATAGACAATTACAAAAATAAGTTGAACATTTTGTGTTTCTTGAGCCCAGTTGCCAAGGGCCTTGTGACTGGGCCTCATGCCAAACAACTCGTTACAAAAAGAGGTAGGGTCCCAGACTGCGCCAAAACTTCGTGAGACCTCTTCTCATCTGTGCATGGACCAGTGGCCAACTCTGGAGCCCAGGCTCTTGCTTCTCAGTCTGGTGGTGAATCCTCCATAGTCTGGTGAGTGTAAATATCTTTTCCCTTCTCCCCTTCCCATTGCAATTTGCTTATTATATCAATCTGTTTATTATATCATTTGCTTATTATATCATTTGCTTATTATATCAATTTGCTTATTAATTTGCTTATGCCATTTGCTTATTATATCTGCATTGCCATTTACGTGGATAAAGCTTGTTTACCCTTAAAGGTATTGTGTGTGTGTCTTTTCTTCTCCCTTTGCGTGTTTCCTGCACAGAACAACCCCCAGGCCAAATTTCTTTTTTCTATAAAGTTTTCCCTTACAACCCTGTCACCCCCACTGCCCAAGAAAGTGTGCCTCTTATATGACATACTCCTAGTACTTGTTGATATATAGCAACCACCTCTTTGCATTTGCCTTTTTTTTTTTTTTTTTTTTTTTTGCTTTTGTTTTTGAGATGGTGTCGTACTCTGTCACCTAGGCTGGAGTGTGGTGGGGTGATCTCGGCTCACTGTAACCTCCACTTCCTGGGCTCACGCCATCCTCCCACCTCAGCCTCCCAAGTAGATGGGACTACAGGTGCGCACCACCGTGCCCAGCTAATTGTTTTTGTATTTTTGTTAAGGACGGGGTTTCACTGTGTTGTCCAAGATGGTCTCGAACTCCTGAACTCAAGTGATCCGACTGCCACGACCTCCCAAAGTGCTGGGATCACAGGCGTGAGCCACTGCGTCCAGCCTGTATTTGCCACTATTTGTTTACATGTTTGTTTCTGCTACTAGATTGGACTCTTTGATGGTAGTTGTGTTTTATATTATTGCCATTGCCAAGCACATATTATGAGCTTGATATCTGATGGATAAATGAATGAAAAAATTAATGAAGAAGCAAAGGACTAATACTATTGCAAATAAAGGGATAACAAGATTGGGGTTAGAGAAAGTCCCAGTCTGGTGCTGAGGATGGATAGGAGGGGTATCTCTAGGTGGAAAAATACATTAAAAATGCTCTCTTAATCATATGGATAAAGAATTACATGAGGTCAGGCACAGTGGCTCACACCTATAATCCCAGCATGTGGATAGGCCAAGACAGGAGGATTGCTTGAGGCCAGGAGTTGGAGACCAGCCTAGGCAACATAGTGAGACCCCCTCTCTAAAAAAAATTTTAAATATACACATATATATGCATATATGTGTAAGAATTAGATGAACCAGTCCTCAAGGAAACCCACCTCCATTTGGGGGCTGACTGAGGGTAAAGAGGAGAGGAGAGTCTGTCAACATAATACGGTTGCAGTCTCAGCCCTAGAAACTCTGTGCTCCATAAAGGCTGATAACGTTACAGCCTGTATGAAGTGCACTGAGGGTCATGATGGAAACTCTTTCCTGTCACAAAACAACTCAGCAGGTTGACAGAGAATGGTGTTCATGCCAAATAGGCCAGACAGGCCACAATTCTCAGGGTTAGGCAACAGAGGCAGAGACTGGGTCTCTAGAAGGCCATTGCTTAAGTGCACGTGTTCCCTCAGGGTACTGGAAAAACTCTGGGTGTTTCAAGAGGAGCCTAGAAGATACTTGCTTAATAGAATCAAATAGATTTGATCCCTACCATTAGAACCTTAAATTCTTCAGCTAATTATCACCTTAAAGAGCTCAAAGAGGCCGGGCGCGGTGGCTCAAGCCTGTAATCCCAGCACTTTGGGAGGCCGAGACGGGCGGATCACGAGGTCAGGAGATTGAGACCATCTTGGCTAACACGGTGAAACCCTGTCTCTACTAAAAAATACAAAAAACTAGCCGGGCGAGGTGGCGGGCGCCTGTAGTCCCAGCTACTCGGGAGGCTGAGGTAGGAGAATGGCATAAACCCGGGAGGCAGAGCTTGCAGTGAGCTGAGATCCGGCCACTGCACTCCAGTCTGGGCGACAGAGCAAGACTCCATCTAAAAAAAAAAAAAAAAAAAAAAAAAAAAAAGAGCTCAAAGAGCTTATTTCAAAAGGGATGAGGCAGGCCAGGCACAGTGGCTCACGCCTGTAATCCTAGCACTTTGGGAGGCTGAGGCAGGCAGATCATGTGAGGTCAGGAGTTCAAAACCAGCCTGGTCAACAAGGTGAAACCCTGTCTCCAAAAATTAGCTTGGCATGGTGGTGCACACCTGTAGTCCCAGCTACTCAGGAGGCCTGAGGCAGGAGAATCACTTGAACCCAGGAGGCGGAGGTTGCAGTGAGCTGAGATCACGCCACTGTACTCCAGCCTAGGAGAAGAGAGCGAGACTCCAACTCAAAAAAAAAAAAAAAAAAAAAAAAAAAAAAGGTGATGAGGCATAGGACAAGATTTAGTGGATGAGACAATAGCACATAGAAGAAACACACCTTCACGATCTGGGAGATGGGTCAGAGAGCAGGAACGCCACCACCTGGTGCTCCAGTATACTTTCTCCCTTAATCCTCACAAGGCATGATACGGTAGATTATTTTATGACAAAATAGTTTTATAATCATAGTTACC